GATCAGTTGGGCAATGTTTTATTGCTATATGTACAATGTTGAAGTAGTTTGAAAGCCTACCAGTGTCTCTATCATCATAAATAAATTATAAATATCTATGTTTTGATGTTTGCTTCTGGTTTTCTTATCACACGATGGGTGTGTAAAGGGGGGATATGGGTTTGCAGGAGGGGGGTGGGAAGGGATGTGGGTAGGTGTGGGGATTGTGGGGGAACTGTGGGTGTGGGGGGATTGTGTGGCGGGCCTGCTCAGGAAGGGTGGGTCACCTGCCCCTCACAGGGTGCAGCCCCCCACAGGGTGCATGGACTGCTCCCCCCCGCCCCCCCGCAGCCCTAACCTAGAGTCCCCAGCACCCTCTACCCACTGCAGCAGCCTGACAGTGGGGGTGCTGCCTGGATATGACCTGCTGCCACCTGCAACAGTATGAGGCCCCAAGGCTGAGCACCTGCCAGACCCAGACAGGGACGGCATAGCCGCAGCAGAGGCATCTGCACCTCTGGGCCAGCTGCCAGTGGGCTGTGGCTGCCCTGCTGCCATTTGTGCCCCTGCCCTGCCATCTGGGCGGCTATCACCCAGAGGATGTTCTCAACATGGTGGGCTGCTTTAAACTATTAAAGCGTGCCTCCTGGCTCCAAATGGCCAGAAGGTCAGCCACCTCATTTGCCCTCCAGCTGGGTCCCAGGTGCCAGCCCTGAGCAGACTCCTCTGCCTGGGTCCTGCCATTTGCCTCACTAGCAGGAATCCTGGTGTTCCCTATTTAAAAACTGCAAAAAAAAAAAAAACTGTGATAAAAAAAACCAAACCAAAATTCACTCTTTAAAATATAAAATTCATGTTTTTGCACAATTAAAACAAAATACCACTAGAGCTAGATACATAGATAGATAGAAAGAGAGAGAGAGAGAGAGAGAGAGAGAGAGAGAAGTTGGGCAATGTTTTATTGATATATTTACAATTTTAAAGCAATTTGGAAACCTACCAGTGTGTCTATTATCGTAATAAAATACATTCTAAATATCTATATGCTTTGATGTTTGCTTTTGGCTTTCTTATCATAGAAAAATTAGAGCTCTCCCTGACCCCTTCACTAACCAGGATGTGGGGGCAGCTGCCCCTGCAGCCACAGCTCCCATCAGCAAGATTCATCCTGTCTAGCAGCTGGGCACGCTAGGTGTGCAATGGGGGGATGTGACGTTTGCAGGAGGGGTGGCTGGGTGGTGTGCGGTTTGCAGAAGAGGGGTGGGAGAGGTGGGGGGGGCCGCCACACACCTGCCCCCCTCTCCCCCCACGGTGCCTGCCGTGCCAGTGGCAGCGCTGTCAGACCCATGGTCTGTGCAGGAATAAAGCATGTGGCAGGACTTGACCTGACCCAGCCCGGTCCAGTCCGCTAGTGTGCCTTTCACAGGACCAAGAGGTGTGGCTCCAGGACATGCAGCTCCTGTGGAAAGGCTCGTGCTAACTGCACAGGCCAGGTCACACTGAGCTTGCCAGACGCATTTTCCATGAGGGTGAGGCAGCGATGCACCATGACCCATTGTAGGCACAGCGCTGCAGCTGTGCATCGATGCCTGGGCCTTATGTAGAACACACTGGTATGACCCGTGCAGCTAGTGCATGCCTTTGCACAGGAACCATGAGTCCTGGCGCTGCGTCTCCTGGTCCTGTGCAAAGGCATGCTAGTGGCCCATGTCGGGCCAGGTCCTGCTGCGCACTCTTTCCCCGCACAGACTGCAGGTCTGGCAATGCTGCCACTGGCATGGCCCGGCTGGCTGCTAACACTGGGTGCGTGCAGTGTGGGGAGATGTGCGCTTCGTGGGTGGGTTTGCAGAGGGGCTCAAGTGGAGGCTGCCACACGCCTGCTGCCCCCCTTCTCCCCCCCATTCTCCATGGCACTGACACAGCGGGCACAGCAGTGGTGCTGCATGACGTGGGCTCTGTGCTGAATGGACCAGCCCTGGCCCACCAATACACGACTTTCCTGGTCCTGTCCAAAGTCGTGTGCTAGCAGGCCAGGTTGGATCCATTCAGCATGTCTAGAGCACACGTCAGGAAGCGTTGCACCACAGCAAGCTGTGCCTGCAGCCAGGCCACAGCTGTGTTGGACCCACAGACCACACATCCCCCCACACCCTCTGCCACCACCCATACATCCCACCCGCCACTTTCCACCCCATGTCCCTAATTTACCTG